CTATTAGTTCATGCAACATGTTTTTAATCTAGAAACATCATATGTTATATTGTTATCTGTCTGGCTTACTTTGTTCACCAGTTGAGGATATAGCAGCAACTCGAATTTAAACTGCATTTCAGGCATACATGGTATATCCATACATGTAAGTATAATGTATGAGGTATGAATATTAGGGTTACCTATTCTCTCTTTTTCTTTCATTTCTTTTTTTTTATTTTTTCTTTTGGTTAGTAGCAACAAGACTTTTTTTTTTTTTTTTTTTTACATATGTAAAGTTGTAAACATGTATCAGTAAAGAGGATAAGGAATTCAAAAGTAGTTGCATGGCTGCTGTTTTCACTTGTATCTGGTTCTCCAGAGCCTTATTATTTTCTTTTCTGGGCAGCTTTCTTCCTTCCCCTCCCCCTCCCCTCCCTCTTGAGGCATCTCATCCTTTAAAAAGGCCATTACCTAATGTTGGTCCCAACTAGGGTCTTGGGAAGGGTGGACTGGTATATGGACCTAACCTTTGACATTTTTTTTTTCTTCCACAAAGTGGCTTCTTAGACTTGAATCCATGTCTCACACTTCTCAGACTTGAATCTATCTCATCCTTTCTTCTACTCAAGCAGGACTATAAGAGAAGCTATGAAAAAGTGGAAGGGGAGAATTAGCTTGTCACTATGTGATTAGTGCAGAAGTAAAAATATGCTTAGTTGGTAACCCCAGCTCTTTCCCACTTAACTCTTAATTTGAAATGGCATTTGTTTCAAGAATTTAGAAGTTGATACTATGGTCTTATACACCATATTAATATTTCCCTGTGAAAAATGATATAAAATGCAAAACAAAGAAAACACAATTGCGTCCTCAGTTAACTGTATCCAATATTCTTTCACCTCCTGGTTTGGGGCATGAATTTAATAATTCCAATCTTGATCAGTGCCTTTCATTTTTGTTTCAATCATCAAATTGAGTGTTTAGTGAAGACATTCTTAGTATACATCTGGTTCTCACTTTGTTACCATCTTACTGTTTGATTATTATTATGTTAAACTTGTAAATAGTATTGGTTAAACATCTTTTGTACAAACACTTCTTTTGACTTTGTTGCATGCAAGGAAAGCTTTACAATTTTTGCAAGGGTTAACAAGATTACAAGTCCTAACCTAAGGCCATACTGTTAGAAAACAAGCATTGACCACTTTGGAGTTATCTTCATTCATGGAGCAGAATTCAGATCCATATTAGAGCCCGTCAGCTCCTCATGGTAATGGAAGGCCGTATTAGACAAAGTAAACTAGAGAATCAGTTAAAACTGGACACAAAGCTTCATGAGCTAGAGGTACGAGTGAATCTTGCTCTCATATGCAACCACTGACATGATTAAAAATATCAATAATATCATGCTGACAACCAATATTCATTTGTTTTTTATAATAGAAAGCTTAATATGTCTTCACTCATCCATGATTGACTTTGTGATGGCTGGAAGGTTATCGCTTGATGATTGAAGTCAAATTTCATTTTATTTTGTCAACCATTATATTTCCTTTGTTGTTCAGTAGATATTTGTGGAGAGAAGTACAAAATGAAGGAAAAGAAAGTTAAATATAAACTCCTAAGAATAATTTGTTCAAGAATAAGGATTTTCTGTTTCAAGGATGTTCAGTAAACACAGTATAGTTCCTTGTAGCCCACCTTAGTGTGATCTCTTAGACTTATTTGGTTTCAAGAATTGATCATTTGTCCGCATGAGCCTACTATTGATTTTTAAAAATCTCTCATTGGCTCTTCAACATTTTGTGATGCTGTATCAAAAGTTAAAGAACTCCAACTGTTGAGAAAAGCTTCTGTAGGTGTATATCTTCAAACGCCCTTAAAACCCGCACCCACCGAACCATCAACCATTCAATCTTGATCAATAAGATTCCTGTCTATTTATCAAAAAAAAAAAAAAAAGATTCCTGTCTCTAGGTTCCAATATGCTGGACAGCTTAGGGATGGTGGTTAGTTCCTCTAGGATTGGGTTTTCTCCCTAAAACTGAGTTATGGAAGATTGATTTTTAGGCTCAGTTTGAAAAGAGTACAAATACAAATTTGTAGAGTGCAAAACCTTATATTTTGTATTATTTTGTATGTATTTGCACTGTTTCCAAACTGAGCCTTAGGGTTTCAAAGGAAAATTTTCTTTGGATTATTTGTAGCATCTGCACAACTATATATAGAAAGAGTGTGGTTATTTGCCTTGGGTTATTACCTTGATTACATTCAAGGCTATTGGGGTGGTTATTGAGTTAACAGTTATTATTTCTACCAACGTCATTTTTCCTTGGAGATTTTATTATGTTGGATAAAAATACATTTAGCATGGAAAAGATGTTTGGGAGTAAAGAATATACTATTGATTCCTGCTTACAGGAATCAACAAGGATTCCTCTAAGTGGAGCCCTGGAGGGAGCAATATCTCTTCTCTCTAATCTTTCAAAAATTTCATTCACGGTTTCTTATGTTCTGTTACAAGGGTGTCATTAGCAATGTGGTATACCGTATATCGTGTTGCCTGAGTTGACCATGACCCAGGTTACTGCTGGAATTGAGTTGGCCCTGGTCCTGGTCAATTAGCGAATCGGACCCTCTGCCACATCATGTTTCCTTGGTCACCCTTCTGATATGTTGGACCTAGGGCTGCCATCAATGGTCCGTATCAAAGGTCCCAAGCTGAACTTGTATTATCACACAAGGTCTGACTCTGTATTTTGAGCCATCATTATTAATAGGGGCTGCTTTGGGTCTGCACTCTGAATTCCAATTATGATGATCATGAAGTCAGGCTTGGTTTTCTCAATTAAGATGTAAAACTGATTAGAAGATATCCCCAACATTTTTTTTATCATGGTTTGCAGAAGAGAGCAACAAAATTAGCAGTTCATGAATTGCCTAATATTTACAGACTGTATTTTCACACCTACACATTTTGAATTGATGATTTCTTTTCTCATCTCGAGTAAGTGGCGGCCCCAATACGTTGGATCAGTACAAGCCAGTTCATGAACTGCCTGAATTGCAACAGCCGGTTTCCAGTTGCCAATGAATACAATAGAGCTAGAGAGCAGAGACTACTACAGTGGAGATGATGTAGATTGTTGGTGGGTGGGAGCCAAGGCGCGTCCTTGGTTGCTTGGATTTTGAGTGACAACAATAGACGACCCGACTCGCCAACGGCCAACCTGTCTGGAAGTGAAGGCGCAAGGGCATGTGAAAGGGCCACCAATTGACATTCGACAACGCACAGCCACCGGTGGTGGTGGTGGTGGTGATGGTGGAGGTGGACTGACTGGGGCTCGTTTGTCGGAGGCTGGAGCCCCAGCCGTGCAGAACAGTCAATCCCCCCTTAATACTCCCTCGGCTGACGCAACCAACCAGGAGACGACTGGGCGAGACATATAGTACGTTAGAGCTGGAGCTGCTCGAATGTTGTATAACCATGGTTGAAGGTTGATCATTTCATTGATTAAGACAGTTGACCAGACGCCTGCCTAGGCTAGGCTTTGAGGCACATGGCTCTTCCCCAGCTCCAATCAAATAAAACTACTCACGCCATGGATAAAGGGAGCATATCTTTTAGTCTTTACAGAACAACAGTAATATATATAATATAAATAAAGCAGACGATGTCAGGACCAAGTTGGGGGAGAGAGAACAAATGGGCTTTATTATTGAGGAGGAATCTCACATAACATGGTTGCTCCCCCTTGTGATACAAATCGGACGGTTAAAAGTGAGCCCTCAAGTGGACTACCACCCCCCCCAAGTCATCAATTGGTTCGTTCATCTTGGGCTTGTTCTTTCTCTTTGACAGCACCAAAGATGTGGCAAACCGTCAACCACATGTATCGCATGCTTAACAGCAATTTAAAATTAGCGAGATAGGATAAACAAGCATTGATCGTTTCAAATTTCAATCCCATCTGCTCCCAAAACCCATGCCATTCCTGCTTAACTCCCGACACTCTTTCCTTCAAAACCCCATTGGCTAACATATAAATAATATGGGTATTGAGCGCTCCAAGCTTTTCCCAACTCGGTTTGGATTGGGGTTTTTACCAACTTTTGCCAGGCTCGAGTTTGGCTTCATCCAGCTTTTAAAATGTCCTCTCGTTTATTTTAAATATTGGACCTATTAGGCTACCTAGGTCTCAACCCTAAACTTGTTATAAAATGAGAACAATTGTTATAGCTGGACAAATCAACCCAAATTTGAGCTTAGTTCAGACAGAAGAGCAATTTGGCAAATTAAAACAAACTAGGCTTGGGAACCAGTTAGAGAGCACATTCGTTTTGTTTTGTTTGGTTGGTCTAGGGTCACCTGGAGCACTCGGGATCCGTTTATCCTCGCTTGGCTGTGTATCACTTGCTATGTAACCAATCGTGAATAAACACGTCAGTGGTCTATACCCATGGAGCTCACATGCCAGCATACAGAATACTGGCGTGTTCATTTGTAATTGGTTAGTGGCAAGTGATACACAGCTAAACAAGCAGCAGTCTCGGGCTCCATCCGGAGGAAATGGCACCTGTTACCAAGTGGGCACATCATATTATGCTACAAGTAGATGGTAGGCAAATGACTTGTAAACCTACATAAATTTATAATGCTAGGTTTGCATGTTGGGATCCGCCTTTCTGACCTCAAGAAAACAAAACAATCACCCTCTATCGGTCTATCCTTTACAATATTTTATTATTTCAGTGTATTATTTCTTTAATCTATAGTTAAGATTGAATTAAATTTAGGCAATGTACAATGAATGTATAATGTTAGTTGTGGCTGTAACAAAAAATGCAGAGGCCATGGCAATTTTCTGTGCATTTGGATCCTAATTCCTTCTTAATTCAATAGCTTAGATGTGGCTGATGATATCCTCCATTGAATTAGATCTACATCTACCCTTTTTGTTAAAGCCTTAAAGCAACACCCAATCCGAGTCTGAAAGATGGATTTGCTACTCCTTGAGTTCAAGGAACAATAGCTTAGTCCAATTGAATACTAAATTGCTCAAGCATTAGTCCAATAGGAGAATTTCGAAGCGGCAGGCGGCAGGTATGCTTTTACTAGGTTAGCCGACCGTCGGCTGCTGGCGGATGGCTACCGCTGAAAGGCGAATCAAAGGAATTGCCCGATTTTGAACCAGTGCCAATAGTGCGACATTAATGGATTTTCATGATTGTTTCGTCTGACACAGAACAGAACTACTGTCAAATTCCAACAGGGTACCATGCAACTTCTGCTAAATGCCAATGGAAGGAGACCTCCTTTACATGGATTATGGTGAGCACCCCCCCTCCCCAACAGACCCAGATCCACCAATTTCTCTACCTTGTCCTTCCTCGGCAGAAGCTCATTGATCAACTCTATTCCAGACCCATCGATAACAATGTGATCGGTTGCCATCCAAGACAATGTCCGGTCACCAACCACCCATTTACAGAAGCTCTCATTCCCTTCCATTTGCCTTGGCTCGAGGAGGCCAATTAATTGCTGTAGTTAATGTTGGGTAAACTCAAAAGAACACTGGATCACTGTGTGGGACCATCTGCTGCAGACCATATTTGGTCGTTCCCTTCGTTGTCGATTATCATCATCATCCGTGTCTGAATTTGCTTCTCCCTGTCTTTTCCATCGTCCTGCAACTGAATTTGTCCTCTTAGCACCACTCGGTCTGTCCACTTTAAATTCCTTGCCAACTTCATTTCGTTGCCCAAATGAGCTCAATCACCGATTCAAGAAATATGCCTCACTTTTCGATGTCAGCTATCTAGTTCAAGCAACGCTGAGGAACCCAAGATCAAAATCGAACCTTGCAAAAGCATAGAGAGGCTCCTGCATGGTTTTAGATTTCTCAGCCTCTTATTTGAAATTGGGATTACCATATCCACCCAACTCTTTCAGGTAAGGGGAAGAAACGAAGCAAAAGGAGTATAATGACGCAACAAAGCAAAATGGTCCTGTACTGAAGTCAGAACTTTTCTTACCTCTTCTGCTTCCTAGAGAGCAGAGAAGAGAGCAACTGGGTTTTGAAATTATCACCACCCTCTCTACCCGGTAACCCACAAACATGCACCCAGTTGCTTCTGCTACAGTACTACTATTCATAGACAAGGACTCCTCTGCGGCCTGCGCCCCACCCCACCTCCCAAAAAATAAAAAAGAAAGAAATCCACGCTTACTTTTCACAAGTTAGTTTGGAGTTTGAACGCGATAGATATGTAAAAGATCTTTCAATTCTTTTAGAGGTTCAAGTTGTTGAAGCAAGAACAGTATTTTCAGAAACAAAGTACAACTACGAGAGCTCTCAATTCCCACCAGAAAAAGACCATTCTTTTCTATTTCTAGCGAGAGGAAATGACCCAAGTTTTCTTATCTTTCGGATGTGAAAGCAACAGCCAGTTTAAATCAAACAGTAACAAGGAAAAAAAGAGAAACAAAAAATCACGACACTCTGTTTCTGCTGTATCCGGAGAAAATCAAGTTGAGATTGGAATCTCTGATACTGTTACTCAAATGGGAATTAGATGGGAGCTCTTATCAGAACAACCATTTCTCTCCTTAGTATCCTCTCCTCAGAGTCTACTGATAACCAAAAAGATAAAGCTCGTAACCATCAAAGTCTTAACAGTAGCAGGACAAAGAAAAGATAACAGGTCTTAACAGTGGCAGGACAAAGCGAACCAACAAAAGACTAACAAAGTAGAGCTCGAAGAGCCCACCCAAACAGGAAAACGGAAATATAAAATAAACATCATGCAAGCGAACCGGGGACAGAAAAACCTGAATCCGCACAACAGAATTCTTCTTCCCACGGCATTGCCATTGGTTTAAGTGAACCCAAATTCTACTCCTTCCTTGTTTCGTATTCATTCTGCATCTTCTTCACTCCTCTATAGAAGATATTAAGTCCTGATAAAAAAACAACAATTGAAGGAGCAGAGAATTCATGGGGGAATGAGAATAATGGACAAGTAGACAAATAAGCAAGAATTAAAAAAAAAAAATGAGTAGTGGGAGTGTTACCTAGTGGAGGGAGAGTTTTGGGTGTTGTTCACTCAATGGCGTGAAGCAGAGGACGGCTTGTTGGAAATGCCGTCTTGCTCCTCTTCACCTTGAATTCGTGCTGGAATGCGGAACCCAGAGAATCCTCCCGAGGCAAATCCGATACCAGAGATGGATGATGAATGGATTGCAGCTGTATTATGGTGATCCGCGGCGGCAACCTGTGGATCTGTCCAAGCACGAACTGAAGGTGAGTTACTGGACTGAAGGGGTCCCCTCTGAGAAAATAATGGATTTTGGCCGAACAACGATTGCAGCGGCGCTGGCGAGTGGAAGACAAATCCTCCAACACCACTTCCTCCTCCACTGCTCGTTTCATTATCGGCATTCCATGCTATCATTCTCTGAAACCGGCCCATCTCTGGCGGTGGCTGCTGCTCCGACCAATTGGTGGAGGTGGCATCAAACGCCAGGGGAGCCGATACAGAGAAAAGGGCTTGCTCAGGTGAAGGAGAAGGAGCAGGATGTTGATGTGTCTGTTGATGGTGGAGAAGCATCGGATCTTGGAAGGACTGAAGCGAGAGACGAAGGTCTTGGGTCTGATTACTGGTTCGGGACAGCAGGTCGGGTGGGTAGTTCTGGAAATGGATGGAAGACGACGATGGAGCAGCCGCGGCCGCAGCAGCCATGGGGAAGAAGGACTTGATGGTATCGGCAATGGCATCCGAGTCCATAGACGGTGGAAGGAAGCTTGAGCTCTGACTGGGATTGCTGCTAAGCTGCTGCTGAAAGGCAAATCCAGAAGGTGCCTGCTCGTTCGCCATTGGCCTTTTACTCGAACCAAGACCGAGATTGTCGGCCTGATGACGGAGACGAAGTCTGTTTTCATCGTCTTCGTTGGTCTGTTCAACCGGTTTGGTGGTAGTAGTATTGGTATTAGTAGCGGTGGGGTGCCAGGGCGGGAGTTCGGCGAGTTCGTCGATGGCAGCTTTGGCCTTCTTGATGAGCCAATCGACAGCTTTGCTGGGTCGGTCGTAGCCCAGGCGGTCCTGAACATCGTAAAACTGGATTGCAGTATGAGCAGACAATCGAACCCTGCGGTCCCGAGGACCCTTGGCAGTACAGACCTTGCTGTGGCGGTCTTTCCTTCCAGTGGAACGGACAATGTGGCCTCCTTGGACTTCTACGATCTCCCCTCCTCCGGCACTCCTCAGACCCAATCTGGATGATTGTTGATTGTGGTGATTCTCTCCCATTCTCTCTCCGAATCCGGCATATTCGATGCCCCTAGCAGAAGAAGGAGGAGAAGAGGAAGGGAAGAAAGATCGCTTCTTGGGAGGTTGTGATTGGTGGTCGATTTGGGTATCTATTGCCTCCCCATCCAATATTCCGAAGAGCTGTTGATGATGATGATAGCCATGAAACCCTTGCTGTTGTGGCGGTAGTGGCGGCGGGGGTTGTGGTCGTTGGTGCTCTTCTTCTGACTGATCTTGGTCTTCCTCCTCTTCCTCTTCGACGTCGTCGTCGTCGTCTTCTTCCAGCCTTGTTTTTAGAGCTTGGTGGAGATGTCTCCGAATGTGAAGCTGCTGATTCCTCTGAGGATCCAGACTCAGACTCTTTTTGTTCTCGTCTTCCAGCTTTTGATTTCTTGCACTTTTTATTACTGGGTTTTGCACTTGCTTTGCATCCTCTCCCAGCTCTCTTGTTGTTCGTGTTGCTTGTTGTTCTGCTTCTTCTGCAGCTGCCACCACTCTGAAACTTGATACCGCTGCCTCTCCCAAAAGGCCTTGCCATTCAACCCTCCAAATTCCATAACCCAACACCACAAAAATCCCCACCAAACGCAAAACCCAAACAAACCCAGAAAGGTAAACAACACTATTACCTTTTCTCACTGTCCCTCTCTGTCTCTCACACACACTCTCTCTCTCTCTCTCTGTCTGTCTATTTATCTCTCTAACCCATCTCTTTCTTTCTTCCTCTGGAAAGAATGGTAGAACAGACAAATCCTTGATGGGTCTATCTCTCTCCTCCCACTCTGTAGAAGGTTTGTGTACCCACCAAACTCTGCAAAAGGAAAAACAAAGAAAAAAGAGAGACAGAGAGAAAAAAGAAAAGAAGAGAAGCAAAAACCTGCAGAACCTCTAGTACTTAGTCACTTGAACAAGCTAAAAACAGAAGCACTAAATCATCCGACACTCCCAAGGGGATTCAGGAAGACCCCTGCAATGGGTCGTCTTCTCCTCCTCCATATCCTGGGAAGAGAGGGGATAAGAGCGAAGTGGGGAAAGGGGTTGAACGTTGTAAGAAGAGGTTGAAGAGAAGCGCTGAACCGTAAATAAAGGGGAATTCTTTTCTGGGCCTATGGGAGCCGTTGATTCCACTGATGAGGGTGGCAGTCTTGGGTCAGAAAGTAGATTAAAGATCTTTGTGATAGCACTGATGTCAGCTGCTGCTGCTGCTGTTGCTGCCCACACACACAGACACACAGTCACTAATCACTCCTCAGCCCTCTCAGCCTCTCCTCTCGCCCCACCCTCCTCCATGACCATGACCTTGACCATGATCCACCCCTTCTCCAAACACCAAACTCCAAACCCAACTCATCCCAACTCGGCCTGCTTCTTCCCCCATAAATACCTCTCTCTCTCCCTCTGTGGGTGTAGCTAATAAGCCAACTTTTTTTCTCTCTCTCTCTTTATAATTTTTTTAATGAATTATTACAACAGCTTAGAAGTTAGAACCGTTGGCTGTGACTTAACCATTATGCCTGCCCGCTAGATACCTCAATTCGCCAGCCACCCAGTAGCCCCAATTGAAAGTGACCTCATTTCAGCTTTTTGGGTTTTCCCTCCTTTCTTTTATTTGCTTTGCTATAAAGCAAACGAGCCAAGTAGCCAACGACATCATCTCTCTTTCCCATTTACCCTCCTACCGCTACAGTCTTTCACAACCCAACCTGTTTTTCTTAGATTACTGCACCTGCACACTGTACAATTTCTTTTTTATTACTCCCTTCTACAGTCTCTTTTCTCTGGTGTGGTTTCTTGATGAGAGAGAGAGGGGGAAATAGAGATTCTGGTTAATCAAACCAGATGAGTTGTGAACACCTGTGATCATGTCTGTTATGTCATTTTCGTAAATTTCTCAATTTTTTTCACCCACAAGGGCATTTCCCTGTTCTGCGATAAAGGTGTCACTATGTGGTATCCCACTAGTTGATTAGTTATTGTATAGGAAAGCGACACAACGCCCTCTCTAGAGTACAACCCAAATGACCAGACTACCCTCCATGCCGTCCTATCTTCATGGTCTTCCCCGCTTCCTCTTCCTTGTTTAATTCATTTGCTGGTTGATTGATTAGTTATTGACTATTGTTAGTCGTAGAAAACAACTTCTAGTTGTTTGGAACAAAAGAGTGGGTTTATTTGATTAGCTTTTACTAGTTGATCTAAGTACCTTTTAGCCTTTTTTGCATCGCTTAATAATCTGCTGATTTTTCATTTATTAATTTGACTTGGTAATGAATACATAAACAATCTCACAAGAACAGATTTTGCTTTTCTGATTTTTTTTCCCCTTGTTTTTCTTTTGTTTGATTATCCCTTGTGGGCTTCTGACAAAAAGGAGAGTCTTTTGTGTGAATGTGCGTACCGTCGCTTTCCATTATTCGCCGCCCATCCATCTTTTTTCTTCTCCTCAGAGAGAGAGAGAGAGAGAGGAAATAGCAGCTGCAGAGAGGCTCTACCACAAGTTCAGTATTTGGATACTGCGCCATTCTATTGTCTCACCCCCCTCCTCTTTTACAGTTGGTTTGGTTTATTACGGATTTGTTAATTACATACATTTTTTACATACCCATCTCTCCTCAATCTCTTCCTACCATTTTTATTTACCTCGACGGACTAAAAAACCCCTATAAAGAGTCAAAGACCCTAGATAGATATCACATTGCCCGGTACATACGGCAGTATAATTGACACGTAAGAAATTATTACACGTGGCAACATGGGTCCCACCATTCTAGGGAAAAGATGGGTCGGGGCATGTGGGTGTGGGGAGTGAAGCCCACCCGGATATGATTGGCATCACGTTTGTTGGACTGGTCTGCCTCACCCCCTCAGTCAGTCTGGACTGTCTGGGCTCTGAANGGGGAGAAAGATTAAAAAGAAGAAAAGGTGGGAGAGCTTTTGTTGGGGGATGTTGCCTTGCCGTTGCCGTGTTGTTGGGCAGTGGGCATTAGCTTTAGAACATTTCCTGGTTAGTTTTTTGGACGTTCCTCTTTAAATATTATCATGTCTTGCTATGTCTGTGGCTTTTGTTTGGACTAATTCTGATTAGTTTATTCTAATGTTTTCAGTGGCTCCAAAATCTAAATATTTATACCCATTTGTTTATGGGCGCCATTGACTCATTCCATTATTTTCTGATGAAATGAATCTTGATTCACAGGTGTTTGGGAGTTGGATTCTAGCCTACTAGGCAGCCTACGAGAGGCCATGGCTGTTGATGTTGGTTGAATCCAAATTGCTTTTAATTGCTTTCTTTCATTGTTTGGGACCCAAACTACAAGGATTTTTGTTCTTTTTTTTTTTAAATCAAGTAACAGAATCCCCCTTTAGCTCATAGTTTAAAAACTGATTACTTATCTTTTCTTTCTTCTTTTGGTAAATTAATCATTTTAAATCGCACAGTCCCTTGAGCTCATGGTTGAAAAAAAAAATTGATTGTTCATCTTTCCTTCTTCTTTTGGCAGTTAACTATTTACCTGCCTCACACGCACCTCTGGATTCGGATCTATTGGTGAATGATTTAGGATGTCACGCGCATCTAGGGATGCACACTGGCTTGCTGTCTCCACTGCATTTGGTTTAAGCTTGGGCACAAGGTTGAAATTTGATGTATAAATGGGCCGAGCTTGTGTTTGATATTCCCATCTTTTAAGGCTACACTCAAGGGAATAGCTGACTCGATTACTAGCTAGACAGTAGAGAGAGAGAGAGGTAAAGGTTATTATAGCTCGATTCAAACTTCAAAGTGGTGGCTTTTGGCTTACCTTGGCCCAGCCCATGAGCATGAGAACCCTAATACATTTGTTGGAAAGGGCATTTGACACATAAATGAATTATCTCTTCTGTTGCTTTCTGACTACTTAATTTTGATATTGTTGGCGAAGAGTAGTGCTAGAATTGTTAGCCCCCCAAAACATGGCTTGAGATATATCATAGCTATAGATTCAAAAACGTTTTGGGTGGCTAGAATTCTAGTGAGTAGTGACTGGTTATGAGTTGCTCAAAAGAATTGCCTTATGGACATTTTTAATCTCCATTGAGAAAGAGATGAAAATAAAAAAACTTATAGAGATTGAGTGAAGGAATTTTAATATAAATTGTCCTAATCAAAATTAAAAAAGAAGAAAAATAAAATTATGGAGGTATTAATCGATTTTTAAACCATTGATACGTCAAATACAAGGATCTAGGAGGTATTAATCATTAATACTTTAGGCTATCTATGGTTCAATTTTAAGGAAGAGAAACCTAGCGCAGCAAAGCTCTATACCCCGGAAGCCTATAGCACAGATGAAGCCTAAATCCCAAGGAATCCCAGAAACAAATTCAAAAAAAAAAGAAAGAAACTAAATGACCCAGATTTTCTAGCTAATCCACTGCTTGGTTGCCTTCTCTCCACGTATGAGAATAAGCCACGTGTAATGATCTGCTTTCTCTGATGCTTCTGCAATCCTGATCAGGAACATCTCCAAGGTGGGGGGTTACTGTTGTGGATAAAGTCAATTACAATCTTCGAGTCACCTTCAATCCAAATGCTGTTGAAACCACTTGTGCTGCAATCTTGGGCGCCTCCATACCTCAAATCATGGTTGAGATGAGAAAATCCCAGAAGACACATTTCGCTTTATAAGGTTTTATCATGTCCTCATACTTGAAAGCAAATCCCTCTTCAAAATGACTAATTGTGACTTTTGGGGGATTAAAGTAGATGCTAGTGTTTATTAATTGCCATGTTTTGAACCTAAAACTGAACCAGCCTAGTCTAATAGTTTTACTCTCAAATCATTAATCATTAAACCTCTATCCTTTTTGACTGTATTTACTTTTGGTAGTCAAAAGAAGTCCTTAGGAAGGTAGCTAGATAAAGAATTGCTTAGGAATTCTTGTGAAGATGTGATGGTTAAATTAAATTAAATTTGATTTTGTAGTTCATTGGGTTTTATGGGGAGCTTAGATTTATTTTTTCTATCAAGTTATTTGACTTTAAGTCTTCTCTTATTATTTATACTGATTAATTATTTTTAATCTTTCACTCAATCCTTCAGAGTTAATTAATTGCACCAAGTCACTATTCTTGGTGCAGAAGTTGGTTTTCTATGAAAGCACATTACAATATAATTAATCCCAATAAACCTATCTTCTTGCCTATTGTTACACCTATAGGTGCCCACATGCATAAATGCATTGTTTTGATGGTTTCACCAAATCGATGTGCAAATTCAACTCATAAATCCTCGAGGATGTGATAAGTACATGGCATAATGAAACTTGGACACATTTCTGCAAGTTTCAGGATTACATTGTTTATGTAAAATTCCATGATAGAGAGGAATTTAGTAGTTTGTGGAATTGAGAACTTCAATTCTAAAATTACGAGGGATTTTAGAATTTCTAAAGAGGGATTCATTTAAGGTGCTGTTTGGTTTGTAGGAATAGGGGTCTAGAATTGGAATTGAAATGGACTATCCCAATTCCAACTGTTTGATTGGGTGGAATCAGAATTCTATTCTCATTCCTGTTGGAATGGCATTCTCCCATTTGAGGGAATGACCATTCCCTGCCCTTCTTCTGGGAATGAAATTATATTCTTGCTGATTTCAATTTATATTCTCATTCCTGTGTCAATCAAACAGACTATGGGAATAGACCATTCGGGTTCTGATTTTGAAAGATTTCAATTTCGATTCTGATTCCAATTCTGATTGTAAATCAAACAGACCCTAATTTCAATTTCAAATCCGATTTCCAATTCCAAATGTGAACCAAACAGACCCTAAGTTCTCCCAAAGTTAGATTCTATATTATGAGGGATTAATCAGAAAACAGCTCGAAGGAAATTATACCTA